ATTCCACACGAGGGTCAATGTCCGACCGTGGATGGGCGCGCTTTCGAGCCGCCTTATGGGCAGCTTCAAGCTGGCGCTTCTGTTCCCCGTCGAGGTTATTGTTGATTACACCACATCCCTCAGCTGACGAGAAGTCAGGGAACGGACATGGGGTTCGCAAGGCGCGAGCAGGGCTCGTATCACGCTGCTGGTGCAGCTCGCCTTCCTCGCCATCCCATACGAGAAAAGGGGTAATAGACTCGTAGTCGACCAACCCCACATTCTCAACGAGGTCGTTCGTCACTAATAGCGTGCGCGGAGCGCGACGCTTGTGTCCATTGAGCCTAGGATATACATCCCTCGGTGCTGCGGAATACTAAATATATATAGTAATATCTAAATACATGCATAACTACTGGCTCCCTAGCCACATACCGTATTCTTGTTTGGGTGCAGTCACACCATGCCTATCTCGTGTGACACACACACCTGTTACCAGGGTACGTCCGTTACACCTTCCCCCATTAAGATTGAGAGTATTTACAGTTCCATTGCCTCAACGAGGCTCGCGTGTCCGCTAGACACTGCAACTCAATTTGTCGGAATTTAACAGTTTCCTTGCTCAATGAGCCCTGTGTCTACAACACGAAAATCACCAAGTCTCGCTGGTTCTGACAGCGAGTACGGGCAGATTCCAACTTCGTCTCCCGCACGCGGTGCAATGTCGGACAGTGCGATATAGGAAAATCTAAACCTTTAAAATTAGGGTAATAAATAAATAAAAATTAGTTTTGAATTTAAGCCGAAGGGTTGAGAAGGCAATAATTACTCTTGGACTCGGTTACAGGAGTACTCAAAATGTGTAGGCAGGTTACGAAGAAGCTTCCATAGACCAACTTTTAAGAAATCTTTAGAAAAACTGAATCGTTGTATTTCAAAACTAAGTTCCGAGTGAAAATTGTTAGTTTACGCCGATTGAGTGATTGTTTTCGCCTCGCAAACGATCCGATGAAAGCGACGTTTAGCGTCTTGTTGATTCTCGTAAGGTCCACTCAAAATGCCTGCACACGTTTTGTCCAAATTTTCTCCCCAGCGGGTCCATACAAAATAAAAAGCTTGCTTGTTTTCGTTTTTTGTTCTATACATTGCCGTTGCATGTGCTTCTACACATTTGACCAACTGAACGATACGATTGTCTCCGTCAGCACTTCCGGCGGTGTCGTTTTTGCAATTTGACGAAATTTTGCCGATGACAAGCTCCTCGACGTCGTATTCACGCGGTAACTTTTTTATTAATAAGGGGTCAATGACTTTTATGTAATCCAATTTCGAAATCGAAGCTCCGTTGAAATAATTCTGCTCAAAAGGAGCTTTCAAATGCTGTTCATCTTTATCAAGGTTCCTCCTAACGCAAGCTTGTATCTTTCTTGCTGCTAATTCTCGAGCTCGAGAGTGAGCTGCATGAAAGTTACGGTATGAACGCTGTATGATACGCACAGCTTCAATTTCATGACGTCCGACATCAATATCATCTGATTGCTGAATTTTGACTTGCTTTACAGTATGCCGAATATTGTTTTGCAAGCCAATGTTGGTATCTTCCCACGGAAGTGTTACTAGCCAATCCGTCCAGCGACAAGCATGCGCAAACTCCGCATCATCGGATAGCGTATTGAGCCAATTCAGCTCATTATTTAGCATTGCATGTGCTTCAGGCGTTAAGTTCGTGTTGCGAACAATATCTAATAATTTCTGAATTTTGGCATTTTTCGCAGTTGGCGACGTTGGTGCCATCGCAGGTGTCAATGACATGCTTTTCATGCACGTCGCAGTATCGGCAAAAGCTTTTTTCTCCAGTGGATCGTTTGATTCGACATTATGAGTGTTTTGAGCAGTAGTTAAGAGTCGGTGTACACCTGGAAGGGGCATTAGCTCTAGTGATTGTTCAAAATACTTTACAGCCAGCACATTTTGATTCTGACGAAGACACTTTTTACCCAAATCTCGGACGAGGGCTGCATCGAGTGCCAACTCTTCATCACTTTTCACAGCCGGTTCTTTTGAACTTTTAGTGAGGAGTGGGTTCAATAGTGATTTGTCGATACTTGAGATATTCAAATGGTCGCAATCAGCCCGAAATTGCAGATTCATCTGTATCTGCGATTGAAGCTGCTGGAATTTATCTTCTTGCTCTCGAAATGTTTCGTGAAGGTTACTAAGCTCATTTTTTATTTCATCGATGCTCTTCGTCAAGCATTCGTTCTGCTTTTCGAGCTCTGAATTTTTCTGTTTTGCAAATCGGACTTCATAACGCAGATACAACATCTCTAAGTCACGTCGAAGATCTGAAGACTCGATTCGATCTAGAAGTAATTTGTAGTCGCCTCCATCCTTTCTCGTATGACTCCTATCGTCGCAATCTTCGATTCTTGCTCCAGCTTTGATTAACTTTTTGATAATGTGGCCAGACACAACTTCTTTATCGGGATCGTTAGCTTCCTCACAAGCTAGCAAAAGAGGTGACCGTCCAGTTAAGTCCTTACAATTGACATCGGCTCCGGCTGCCACGAGATAAAAAGCACATTCAGCATGAGCATTTGCACACGCCAAATGGAGTGGTGTATTCCCTTCTAAGTCTTTCGCACTCACGCCAAGGAAAACGAAGGTGTTGCTCTCTTCATCAGATGTTTGTTCGACTCGCGCATTGGCACTAAGTAATAGTTCCACGCACTCCGATGAACCAGCACGAGCAGCATCATGCAGAGCAGTACGTCCACCAATAGTCCGTCGTGCTGGTAAGCTGTCGTGCTTATCGTCTAAATTATAAAGTGCTGAAGTTACTTGCTGAGATGATGCTTCTGCCCGAAGTAGCAAACGTGCGCATTTTACGTTATTCTCGGCGCATGCAACATGCAATGGCGTCCGCATGGCCAGATCAAGAACATTGGGAATCGCACCAAGGGAAAGCAACAACTCCACCACATTATCATTTCCACCTGCACATGCATGGTGTAGTGCTGTCAAACCAGTGGATGGGCACGACGAGTTGATTACTTGGTGTTTTTCCTTCTTTCCCTCAAAGTTAGCCAACACTCGCTGACAGGCAGCATGGTCTCCATCACGACAAGCCTGATGTAGATGAAAGACAAAGTCAAAATGAGAAGTAGTCTTGTCAGCAACAGCGCTATCTTCTTTGTTCCTATAAAAATATTCTTGTGGAACTGGCATAGGCAAGGAACGAAACGAGACCGATGTTCCATTTAGCTCTAAAAGTCCATCGGCCGCTTGACCAGCCATACATAAAATCCTTGCGGTCGTGACATTCAAGACGGCTTGAAGCCGTAAGAATGTTTTGTGCGGAATCATCACAGCTGGAAGTGTGGCGTCGGCGGCATCAATATGGTCAACACTCATGACAAAGGCAGCATCCAAGTCTTCTTCATCATCATTACAGACAATTGCAGCAACAGCTCCAGCATGCTGCACTCGTGCAATTTTCTCAGGAAACGAGCATCCCCCACGTCGTACTATAGCTATAGCTCCACTTAACTGCTCTGCATTCTTCAGAGGTCGATCGGCGACGAGCGGATCAGATGCCACTAATCTGCCTGAGTATGATGCACCAGCACTTGTGGAGCAAAAATCTGCTAGAGGAGCAAAGCAAATCTCGTACTCGAGCGCACTTGTTGCCCACTGGACAAATGCAAGCAGCGGTGGCTGCTTTTCTCGAGTAGTTGCTTTGATCGTTCCAACTTCGATTGATTCTGGCACCTTAGTTTTACCACCAATTTCACGACTTGAAGCCTCTTTGACGCTGGAGTTTGCCATGTGGTGCGGCTCCAGCATCTTTAATAGCGATGATGTGGTCTGTTTAATTGATTTCCATCTCATTCCATCCTCTGGTGAATCGTATAGTTCTCTTGGTATCTGAATGTAAGTCTCTACAGCATCAACTTTTTCATTTCTATGTGGAATTTCTAAAAGAATCTCTCCATGCTTCACGGATGGTGGAAATTTCTGAAATAGCTCTCGAACATCACGCAAGCACATCATCATACAAGGGATCGTAATTTCTTCTTTTTCAATCTTTTTGCTATCAGTTATATCATCAGGTGATTCTCCCATCGTGAAAGCTGCGAGAGGTTCCTCTCTTGTGTTGTTGGCCAGCAACATGGCTACTACACCTGCTCTTTGTAAAAGTCTAGCCTTGTGCACAAAGCTGCAGCCTCCTCGTACCACCAATACAATGGCTCCTTGTAATTCTTCTGCGTTTTTGAGTTCTAGCTGGTCAGCACGTGGTGGATCAGCACAAGCCAAACGAACGTGTAGCTTCTGTGGCTCTCGAGACCCAAAAGTAGCCAATGGACACACTCGACGTTCCACGCTTCCATCCCATGAAATATATGCATTTTGTTGGATTACTTCAGTCATCTAAGACACGGAAGATAAAGTCTTGGATAAAGCAATGCTAATCAAATTATCATGACCTTTCATAAGGATTTAAGAATCGCCTGGCTTATCCGATCATATATAGTCAAGAATAGTATAATCTTTTCTGAAAAATAAAAAAAGCTTCAAATCTTTACAAAATGAGTGATACGAAAAGCAAGCACAAGCGCTGGTTTCCGCTGGAATCAAATCCCGAAGTCATAAACTCATATGCGAAGAATTTAGGGTTTCCTACGTCTCAATTCAGCTTTTATGATGTGTTGAGTACTGAGGAGTGGGCACTCGCTACAGTGCCAACTCCAGTTATGGCTGTGATAATGCTCTTCCCTATCAAACCTCATGTACGTAATAGTTGTCTTGTCCTGTTATACTGAATATCATATCATTGCAACTGATGTGTATCAGACAGAAAAAGCGGATAAAGAGGAAGCAGCTAGAATTGAAAAGGAGGGACAAATAGTTTCTCCTAACGTCTATTACATGCGCCAGACTGTTGGTAAAGGCGCATTTTAGTTGGATATCAAACAACAATACGATAAATTGATTGTGATATTTTTTTACTTTATATTGAAGGCAATGCATGCGGTACGGTGGGTATCTTGCATGCCATTGGCAACGTGCGTCACCTGGTGCAACTTCGTAAGTTGTGGTTGTTACTCTTGCCATGAGCTCTCAATGTTAAATTGTTTTTAATGTGCCATTTGCAGACCCTGGAAGTTATCTTGACAACTTTTTTCATGAAACCGAAACGAAAACGCCCATGGAGATCGCCCAATATTTGGAGAAAGACGACGAGGTTATGCTGTGACACAATTTATTGAAGAAGTAAATTTGACGGCATGTTTATTCTTTATCACGTATAATAGTTGGAGAAAACTCACAGTAGTGCGGCGGTGGCCGGACAGTCTGAGGTAAGACTTGAAATCTTTTAGTAATTATTTTGGATTCCTTTATCTTTCAATGCTTTAATTTTACTGTTTTGAAAATAGCAACTGGAAAGTGTGGACGATCCCATAAATACACACTTTGTATGCTTTAGGTGCGCCTTGTCCAATGTTTTCAGCTCTATAGATGTGACTTATATGTGGGATTTTCGATGCTGTCAGTTGCGTGGATGGACATTTGTATGAACTGGATGGACGAAAAAAGCGTCCGATTAATCATGGACCGTCGAGTCCGGAAACCGTCCTCCAGGTAGAGATGGTCCCCCGCTTTTCTTTCGTCTCTACAAAAAAATAAATTCCTGATGTCTCTTATTATTCTCAGGACGCTTGTCAGGTCATCAAAAAATTTATGGCCAGGGACGAAGGCGAGGTGCGTTTTACTATCCTTGCACTGGCGAAGACGGCGGCTGACTAGTAAGCGAACGGGATTTACTAGCAGTAGAAGTAACTACAAAGTGAACGGAACAGAGTCAAAGTAGCATGTCAACATATGTTCCCCATGTTTCTATCTCTTGAAAATTCATCTAGTGAGAAGCAAAACGTCCAAATCCAAACCGTCGCAAACTGCTTGACTTCACAAATTTCATACGTGAGCATACGTCAGCGTCGAGACGGGCACCTTTAACCCTCTTGATTCATGCTGGAAATAGCTATACTTTTATGCATTAGCCTGCTAATACAGCTACTCAAGCAAGTCTCGGACTTGGAACAAGGCCGAGCGTAACTTGATTGTGGGAACTGCTCGACTCTGCGTATACCCGGGAGGGGTAGGAAGTCTTCGCTAAAATAAGCATCAAAGACGTTTGAGCAGTTAAAACTCAATTAATGATACACGTCGAAGCGAAGCCATTCCATGACTCGCATAAAAAAGGCCTCGCGTGGAAAATGCAGTCATTTACAATTCTAGCTACACTGAATTGGGCTTTGCCTTACTCCTCGAACAGGATGGCGGAATACCGCTAAGCTTTTATGTCTATATAAGTGCATCTACTCTCCCCAGAAAGCACATCGCGCATTTGATTAGATTATAGTCGTGTTTTGAACGCTATTTCAGAGGCTACAAGCGGAATGCTTCATTTATTCGCCACAAGGGGTACAAAATCACCCGCCCCCTGCAAGTGCATCACGCGATTGATGCGTTCCGTATAACTGTTGGTCTGTGGATGGGCATTCCTGCAGCGGGGCTGCCGTAGCTTAGCGCTTGAGGAAGCGTACTTAAGGTCACCGACCTTTCGTTCTTTACAAGAACTAAGTATGAGTTAGCGAATCGCAATCCGCTTACTCCAAGAGTAAGTATTGCCTTCTCAAGGCTGTTTGACTCTTCGTTTTGAAATCCAGAACTTTATTTCTTTGCTAATTTGAAAAGTTTAAATTTTCCTAAATATATATAGTCTAATCTAAATACATGCATAACTACTGGCTACCTAGCTACATGCCGTATTCTTGTTTGAGTGCAGTCAAACCATGCACATATCGTGTGACACCCCCTCATGTTACCAGGGTACGTGTAACCCCGTTACACCCTCCCCCATTAAGATTGAGAACATTTACAGTTCCCATCGATTATTGCCTCAACGAGGCTTGCGTGTCCGCTAGACACTGCAACTCAATTTGTTGGAATTTAAGAACATCCTTGCTCAATGATCCCTGTGTCTACGACACGAAAAAAAAATCACCAGGTCTCGCTGGTTCTGACAGCAAGTACGGGCAGAGCCCAACTTTGTCTTCCGCACGCGGTGCGATGTCGGACGGTGCGTCCGCAGCACCGAGGAAAGTATATCCTACGCTCAATGAGCACAAGCGTCACGCTCCACGCACGCTATTAGTGACAAACGACCTCGTTGAGGATGTGGGGTTGGTCGACGACGATTCTGACACCCCTTTTCCCGCATGGGATGACGAGGAAGGCGAGCTGCACCAGCAGCGTG